ATGAGATATTTACACAGAAAGTGTAGCCTACCAGGAAAAGTCATTGATCGCTATCTTCATCTTCCTCCTGCACTAAAACCACTAAAGTCGTCTTCTTCGGTGTCGGAGTTAAACAGCCTCAGAACTACTTCGTCACCTCCTCAGTCTCTCTTTCGTTGTCGCTCTCAACGTCACTTTGGTCTCGAGGCAAGTTCGTAAAACTTGTAAAAATCCAGAAATTAGCCGCATCATTGTTTAAGACAAAGTGTTCAAAGCGTGTGAAAAAAGAAGTGGACATCAAGTATACAGACATTACGGTATTCTTTAAAGAAAATGCTTCAATCAAATGTTCAAAGGACGTTTGAAGGATATTTTCACTTCCAGTAATGTTCTCATAAAGTTATGATCATGTTTTAATGTCAACATTCAGATTAAGTTCCATGAAGGAACACATGATAAAAAGTTCTTCTAACAAACAAACGAACGTTTGAGAATGTCGGGGCATAACGGTGTAATAACGTTGTCACCAAACATTTTAAGAACATCTGTATTTATTCTGCTCTTAAGAAGAACTTTCATGTAACTAAAAGAAAACTTCCTGCTGAAAATATTAGTAGAACTTTGCAGAGTTTTCCCAGAACATTTCTGGAACAAAAACAAGCTGGGTCGATACGTTAGCTATAGCTTCACCACGAAGGCAAAGACGAAGAAAAAGAAGCTTCAACTATAAAGTTGCAGAAGAACATAATTTCCACTAGTCACTAAACATCACACTCTCATAATCTGCATTTCACTAATTGTGTGGTTCGTAGCACCACAGAACTGCAATTATATTCAATTATTTGAGTTTTTTTTGCGAAATCTAATTTTACTTTGACATGAAAGAGTCTTTTTCTGGTAAATTCTATTTTAAAAAGCCAAATTAAAATGACCAGGCACTTTGTATTAAAATGACATGGCCTGTTTTCCATTTTTTAATAAGTTTATTTTAATTCTTACCATCATCCTTGGGACAGAAAACCCAACAGATTGTATTGGTAAGTGGGTGGTAAAGGTCTGGTTCTGGGATTTCGAAGCTCCTAATCGTCATAACTTGTGTGTTTTCAGGTCCAAGACTTCACCGTTAGTCTGTTCGTGCAGAAGAACCTTCCTCCAGAGATCCGGATGTTGGCCATCATGATCCTGTTTGACACCAAGCCTTCGACGGCTCTCGTTTCCACCATTACCGCACATCTGTTGGCGGAAGAAGACCAGCACGTCGGCAGCTTCGCGTACTCGTACCTGCAAAGTTTTGCCAGATCCAAGACTCCAGACAACCACTTCCTGTAAGCGTTGAAATGAAAGATGGTGCATTTTATTGTTTGAGTTTTAAGTTCACTCAGGTTCAAAACTCCATGTGAGAGTATAAAACTATCTGAGTTGAATTAACGCAAGAAAACAAGTTAAATGAACTTAAGTTGAATCATGTTTGACACAGACAGTGATTGCAGATAGATTTTAGGTAGTTTCTCTTCTTGTAACTCTAAGAACTTTACCATCAGATCAGTTATAACTCTACAGATGTAAGGACTAACATTTGCCAGAGTTTGAAATGTTTGGATTATTACGAAGAGAATCCACCAGAATTTGCTTTAACAAAGACACACGGCAAGTTTCCACCAAGTCTGTATTCTCAAACGACAAAGAAGTCTCTGTGGAGTTTTGACTCTCTAGCAATACATCCTTAGAAGTCATATTCAGGTTTCACTTCATAGAAANAGATCTGACTTTTTTAGTTTTGAATTGTTCCTCTCCACAGGCCATCGAACTGATCAAGCATTTGGCCGATGCTAACAGTTACCACATCGACAGTGCGACCACTCAGGACACCATAAAGCTGTTCCAGCTGCTGAGGATGACGCCTTATGAAGGATTAGAGGAGATGTGGAAGCAGTTTGCAGGAAACGCAGAGTACAGGTGAGAATACGGTGAAACAGTGGCAGCAGTGTTTTATAACTAATATACTGTGTTTATATAATGTAGCCGCTGTAATCGACATGAACTGTAGTTATCTGTAGACGACACAAGTGTCTTCTTGTAAACTTTGAATTGCAGACATACACCATGAATCACAATGTGCCTTTAATATTTAATATTGACTGAGTACAGAAACAAAGGAGTGTTCTTAGTTTGCAGGTATTTGCTCATAAACCCAAGTGTAATTTCCCACTAGCTTTAAATTACCGACACACAGTGAGTTATACATTCAAACATTATAATTAAGTTAATTTTTTTATCTTTATACCCTCTGAGAACATTTAACTTCAGGCTCAAAGTGAAGCTCCGTCACTGATAACCTTTAACCGAGCGTTTCATTACAACTTTATAATACGACGATCCATCTTGAAAAACTGATACGGATCCACTTGAGCTGATTAGATAATTGAAAAGAATCTTTCCACTCTGTTCAGGAAGGATTTAGTGAGGTACATTACCTCTGATGAATCATTTATCATCCATCTTTGCTTGCTGACATTAGGACGGTGTGTTTTAATATAGTCATTACATCTGCCATACTCTCCGTATAACTTTTTTTTCCTCTCTCACTTCTGCAGACGTTGGTTTTTGGACACGATCGTTGAGATCAGCGACGCCCGAATCCTAAAATTCCTGGAAAGCAGGTTTCAGGCTGGAGATATTTCTGCAAACGAGGCTCTGCAAACCTTTGTGGTGGCTTTCAATCATCTGAAGGCAGCTCCTGAACTGGTGGAGATGGCCAAAGTAAAACAACCCTACGGCTAGAAGACCTGTTCTCTTACTTCTTCTGCTCCCGTTTTAAACTGTCTTTTCTTTTCGCAGGCGTTCCTCAGCCTGCCGTTCAGTAAATCCAACGTCCATCTGTGGCACACTGTGGTTCTTTCCTACGGCTCTCTGGTGTACAAGCACTGTGCTTATAACACACCTTGTTCGGTGGGCGTTGTTCAGGTAATCAGGCTCAGGAACGTCTACATCAGGGATCTCCAGCTCCGGTCCTGAGCTACTGTCCTGCAGGTTTTAGACGTTTCCATACTGCAACACACCTGACTCAAATTGATGGATCTCCAACAGCTCGTTGTTAAGTTCTACGCAAATCCGTTAATGATCCATTCATGTGAGTCTGGTGTGTCGCAGTAAGGAAACGTCTAAAACCTGTAACTCACGAGGACCAGAGTTGGAGATCCCTGGTCTACATTAATGTGCAAATGATGAGTGTTAGTAACACGGGATTCTTGTAGCCCCTGCTGGACATGGCCCTGGAAGCCCTGAGGACCAGACACTACGACGACATGGTTCTGGCTCTGAAAGCTCTGGGGAACGCCGGCCATCCGGGCAGCATTAAGACCATCATGCGTTTCCTGCCTGGAGTCTCCGCGAGCCCCGTAGATCTGCCGCCTGGAGTGCTGAGCGCCGCCGTTCAGTCGATGAGGCTCCTCGCTGCCAGAGACCCTCACAGTGTAAGAACAAGAAAGAACACCACAGATCTATGTGAGGGTTCTATGGTGCCTACAGGAACTGTTCCTGTTAGACGTTTCCCCCTTTGACTGCTTTCTATTTTCAAAAAAGGCCTCTTTCATTCAGATTTCTACAAAGTCATGCCAATTAGTTTCAAATAATGTAGGATTAGTGATTCACTGTATCTGGAAGATGAATCCCCAACTCGAAAACGAACATTCCCCAGTGTTACCAACAAGTTTGAATTACCGTAATTTCCAGACTATTGAGCACCTGA